CACGCCCCCCGCCACGCCACGCCCCCCACGCCGCCAAAGGGGGGCCGCGCACCGCCCGCTGCGTCGCGATCACGTGATCGGCGCCGCCGCTACATAAGGCGCGCGCAGATCCCAGACCGGCCTTTTCGGGCCGCAGTAGCGGCGAGGGGGCTGCGTGTGCCCATCCCTGCCGGTGAGTTGCCAGTGAGGGGGCGAGTAGGGGGTGTTTCTCGCCCCATGTGCGCCTGCGGTGGGTGGTGTGGATGCGCTGCGGTGGGGGGCTTGGCCCTGGATGGGCGCTGGCGGGGAGGATGAAGGTGGATTGGGTCGCCGGGGCCTGGGCTCTGGCCTAGGCCGCTGCGGCCTGCTGAGAGGCCTCCGCTTCGTAGTGGCCCTGGGTGGGTGGGGTACTACGGGAGACCTCGTCAGGGAGTCGTGTGGGAGAGGGGGAGCCCTGAGAAGGGCCGTCCAGCGTAGGCCCCTCGGGGGTGGCGGGCCTGTGGAGGTTTAGCCCTTGAGGCTCGTCATCCCGCGGCTCTGTGGGGTGTGAGTGGGGCCTGGGCTCGATTTTGTTGGGGTGATAGCTTGGGGGTGCCCAGTGAGAAGTGGGGCTTGCTTTGGCTTGTGGGGTCTCGCCTAGGAGCCCTTTTTCCATGGGAAATGCTCCTGGAAGATGGCGTGCGCCTTCTGCAGGAATAAGTGTTAGGTTTCTCACGGTTTTTAACTCTGCGCTAGGCTTTAAGGAAGTACCTTTGACGGATAAATGGGAAGTGTTGTGCAAAACGTCGTAATAGTGTGGTAGCATTAAGGGTTGCGTGCTCCTAAAATTAATGCTTGAATATGCCAGATGAATCTTGAATATGAAGATGCCAGGCTGGGGAGACCCCTTCAGTGGTGGGAAAGGTGGAGGTTGTCCCCTGCAGAAGAGTTTGATAAATGAGGAGGCGTCCTTAGCAAGTGTTAAAGGCCCCGGGTTAACAAAGCATTTTGCTAGCTCGTGTGGACTTCCATGTGCCTGCACATGATGAGAAGTATGTTGGTAGGGACATCTGAGACGGTGATGAATACCAACATATCTGAGCTGGGCACGGATAGAGTAGTGTGTAGTGGTGTGTCTGGTATGGTTGAAACACCAGCGGGTCCTTTCTGAGCAGCCAAACGATGGTTAATGGCTGCAGGACTGACCCGGTGCTTGTACAGGGGAATTGAAGCTGTAGAAAATTTTAAGTTCAGCAGTTCTGTTCTGCAAACAGGGGCTAGCAGTTATTTTTGTAACTTTGTCTCTTCAAGGAGCTGAAGCATAGTATACACTGCAGCGGGGGAGAGCTTTAAGGCTCAGAGTATTCTTTAGAATTTTATTTGTATTTTTCAAAAGTATGTGTGAACATCTCAATTCTTAGAAGAATAAAAACTAACAGATACTTTCTTGTTTTAGTTAAAAATGCATCAACTACACTCTTCCCTCTTGTGGCTTCAAAACAGGTGGGTATTGCTTCTGAAATGCAGAGTTTAAATTGAAAAATAATGTGTAGGTACACTTAACTGCAACTAGTCAGGAATACTTAGGAAATTACAGCACCAGCGTTTGTAATCCAGTAATGGCCTGTGGTGTCTCTTCAGGGAGTCCTCACTCTTCTACTGGGGGAAGTCACTCATCTTTCTTTCAACTGGAAAGTAGATGTGAGGCTCCTGTTGTTTCTGAACCATTTGTCATCCTGTAACCAGACAACCATAATACACTAGATACCTTTTTTCTTTCATTACTGCTGTTTCACCATCCACAGCAACAAATAGTGGGAGGAAAGTGCATAATGTGTGTGTCGAAAAACCTGTAACTTAGCAGGATTGATAATGAAATCGGAGAGCCTGTGATGGTTTCAGTGTAAGAGTAGTGGACAGAAGTGATTTCTGAAAACTATGTGCTGAGGCTTTTCTCTGTGTTTAGTGTCACTGCCAGAGGTACTCCCCCTAGTTATACAAGTGTCTGAAACTTGTATCTCTTCCAGGTCTGCCACCAAATAAGGAGACTTGATGCTACTTTACAAGGTAAAAAATACTTGAAAATTCAACATAAAGTGGTGTTTAGCTTGTCTAGACAGTATTGTTCTAATAACATCAGTTACTCCCAGAGCAAATCTTTCCTTTTGGTGCCACAATGATGACAGTTATTTGCTACTCTTGACCAACAAAATGATGAGCACTTATACCACCATAACCTTCCTCTGAGGCACAGCAACTTAGAATTCCCTTTGATGTTTTGACTTCTGAACATGCTGTTCATAAGACTTTTTTTCTTCTAGGATTTGAATTGTGCCCTTGGAAGACCTGCAGAAGAAACACCCACCTGGTGAGTGAGCAATGCGTGGTCTGTGTAGGAGTTTCATAGAACTGTTCAAACACTTCAGTAGAAGGGGTGGGATGTGTAAAATGGAAGTACTTTGGGATAAATTTCTACTAATATGCAGAAACAGTTTGATAATTTCCAATATCTTATTTGGGGAACTTCAGTTTTTCAACACTGTCACAAGAGGCGGTTGCTTGGTGCTGTTACTCCAAAGCAGATACAGTGATGATGGCATAGTTCAGCTGAACATCCTGTGATGAACAGTTTTGTCTTTCGCTCCTATCTGATGTATACGGCTCTTGTGACCTCTTTGCTAGGAGGTGTAGGCTTGGCTATAAAGGCTGAGGGAGTCTGATTTTTTTTTTCTTATCTTTCATTGCAGACACTGGGAGATGAAACTGTAAGCTTTGCAAGGTAAATACTGTATTGCCTGCCTCGGCAAAAAATAATTTATCTCCCTGGTGTGTGAAAAGGCTGTGTGTGATGACAGCATAGTTCAGCAGATGACCCATGGTGATCATGCTGTTACTGTCTTTTGCTCCTATCTGATGCAGCCTCCTGTACCTTCGGCTGTTGCACAATTCCTGTCTAAACTTGAGGGTGAAACTTTTGCTCCATGAATGTGTTTTGAAAATTTGTCTCAAAAGATCAGTAAATTAAAAAAAAATTAGTAGGATGAATAGAAGGATGGGGAGTAGGCTGGGCTTGTTAAATTGAGCATAAATACAGCAGAGAAAATTGTCTATATCAAAAAGTCTTGGCAGTAACAAAAAATCTGGTGTTAGTGCTTCCAAGTTTTATAACTTGTTGCTTTGCAGGCCCTTGGGTAGAGGATACCTGTGTCTCCAGTGTGGGAGAAACTGTTTCACCTGCTGATGGTGTTGAAGATGAGGCCTTTCTAACTGAAGGTAATGGAAAAACATTTGGCTGTGCTGCAGTTGATCTTAGGAGTTCATTTTTGGACATAAAAGGGTGTGCAAATCCATTTTGTTTCTGGAAGATCTGAAGCAAAGGTACTTAATACCCTAAGTGTGCCTGCAGATCACTTATGCTTCATTCATAGTAAAAGCATTAAGTTACTGTTTTGTGTGATGGTTGTGGTTTAAAGCTGGCTGGCAAACATCCTGTCTGTCACCTTCCCCAGGGAGATGGGGAGAGAATTGGAAGGGTAAAGGTAAGCAGGCTCATAGGTTGAGTCTGTATTAAAACAATTTAATAATTGAAATAAAATAATAATAGAATATACAAATGAGTGATGCACTGTGTTGATTGTTCACCACCTGCTGAGCATGCCCAGCCTGTTCTGGCTTGTGATCTCAGAGGAGGGAAAATCCCTGAAAAGAGCCTGCTTCCCAGACAACCCTCCTTTTATGTGCTGAGTGTGATGTATAATATGGAATATTTCATTGGCCAGTTTGGGTCTGTTGTTCTGGCCATGCTCCCTCTCAGCTTCATGTGCCCCTGTACGCTAGCAGGACATAGGAAGTTGAAAAGCCCTTGATTTCTTGTCAACAGGTAAAACAATCAGTGTATTATCAATACTCCAAATTATACCAAATCCCATGCTCAATCTAAAACAGTACTATTCTAGCTACAAAGAACAAAAATTGCCTCTATCCCAGTCAAACCCAGGCTATCTGTGTTGCAAAGACTTCTAGAATGTGCCTGTTGAGACTAAATGGTGAATGCAACAACACTATAAATTTAGCATCTGAAATGCTTTTCCTAATTTAGATGTTTACACGAGGTTCATGTGACTGCAGTCTAGAGGTTTGCTCCTGTATGCAGTTCTAGTAGTCTGGGGTTGAATTGCCATTGGGGGTGCTGAGGAGGGTGCAGGGAGGGGGCTTTAGGCCCCCCTCGTGGAAGGGGATGGAAGTGTTGCAGTCTACTGTAAATGATGTTGAATCAGGTCTCTGATCCAGATGAGGATAAAACTTAACTAAACACTGATACAGTATTTCACTGCAACTGTGCTTATGCTAAAACTTTCTGCTAGACTACCTAATAGCAGCATTTCTTTTGCAGGCTTCCAAAGTGTTTCTCCTTGCAATGTAAGTACTTGTTTTAGCTTTGTAAGTATCAGCTAAAAGAAATATGAAGTGTTTATCTGCATGTAAGATGAGGATGGGGGAAGTGTGTAGAGGGGGACCAATGTTTGTTTGCTGCTTGCATCTTAGCCAAAACAGGAGGATGCTTGAGGGGAGAAATGCTGAATAAAGCCCAGCCTTGACAGGCTAGTTTGTCCTAAACTACACTGTGCCTTTGAGCTTGTGAAGTTGATCTGATGGTGCTACTTGTGTATTTGCCCTCTTCCCTACAGCAGCCTTAGCCTAAAGCAGATAGCTTTCTGGTAACTGACATGGTGAGCTGCCTATGTGATGAGATGGGACTACCTTGACTTCAATCATGGAGGTCTGCAATTAGCTCTATCTGACTTCAGGCACCTGGCCAGGTATCATGCTTGTGTTGCTGCTTGTGTGCTGTCCTGATACTTTGCTTTATTCCAGGTACAGTACAGCTGTGAAATGGTACAGTTGGATAGTGCTGCCACCAGAAGTAAGTTGCCAGCAAATACATTCTTGTGTTGCAGTCAGAAGTGTGTGATAGGTATGCTACTCTTAAAATGTGAACTGCTTTCTGTAGCTGAAAAATATTATGGATCAGCCAAAATATGTAACTGATATGGACTACCAGAGTATCTAGTCTCTCAGAAAGGATGTGTGGTAACCTGGCAGTGCAGAGCTTGTGCTGACCAAAGTTCGTAAAATTACTTGCTATTTGAACTTTTTGCTAGTTTAAGTAGTGGGCTTTTGCAGGGAGTAGCACTTATCTTCAGTAGTTGAAGTAACATGGTAAATTAGTTGTCTTAGTGGCTAGATTAGAGCTTTCATTGATATGAATGAAGATGTGGTTGGGAGGAAGGTCTGTAATGCTGAGGTCAGGTCCTCTTCTAAAGGGAAAAGTAACAAAGCATGATGTGTCTCTAAGCATGTACTGTTTGTGATGATTAATTCTAAGCAATGGGAATCTCTCTGAAAGAATCTGAGGAGGACTCTTGCACTGAAACAGTACTCACATTCAAACTACTGAAGAACTGACAAGGAAAGTATGGTAATAACATTTCACTGTTACAGAGTGAAGATCATGGGGAGTTTGTGTGAGAAACAAGACTGACTTATGTCTGAGGTAAGTGTAGAGTACATGGAGTTTAATAATTACTGGAATATTGTCTTTGTGCTAAATGCCTAGATAGTGGTGCCTAGAATTAGTCTTATAATAGATCTGATTTGTTTTCCCTTTATTGTATTCTTATTTTCCCATATTTGGCTACTATGGGAATAAACACGATGTGCTTGAAGTTGAAGCAAGATTGCACTTCTGTGTAGTTCTAAATTTGACTTGAAAAGAAAGGGCACTGTCTGAACAGATACTCTGACAATTCCTGAACTGTAGTCTGTGGTAAACTTTATGTAAAGGGTATATAAACTGTGTAGAGCTGTGTTTGTATGAACTGAAGATGTAGGTTCAATGACTGAAAACTGGAGTGTTTTTTTTTTCTGGATGTCTTCACACAATGGAAATAATAAAGGAGCTAAATCAGTGGAGACTACTTAAACAATACAGTGTTGATAATGTAGTACAGCAGAATGCACAATTAGTTTTATTTTAAGAAAAGACAAAACCCAACCCTCTGTGGTTGTCACTACTCAGTAATTTTTGCTAATCTTGCTTATGCTGGCTGTACACAAATTGAGAATCAAGTTCTAGGTGATTGCTGCACTCAGACTGGTTCTCACTTTTAAGGATAGGTTTTCAAAATAATTTCTATGGGACTTGTTTTAGGTATCAAAACTCATCGACTACAACATTCTCTTGGAGATAGACAGTATCACAAAGCAAGCACTAGCTTTACTTTACAATGTTAGTAATTCTGTATTTCAAATTCAACTGGGATTTGAAAGCTTTGTAGGTATACTGAGTCTGGCTGAGCCAGAATTGGTTTTCACTTCTAGCAGCACTCACGGTGCTGTGGTTTATGCTGGGAGCTGGCAGGGTGTTGATAGCACCCTGATGTTGTGGCTGCTGCTGAGCAGTGCTTACACAGCACCAAGGCTCTTTCTGATATTTCCCCCAGTGGGATGGGGTGGGTAAGATCTTGGGAGGGGACACAACCAGGACAGCTGACCCAAACCAACCAAAGGGATATTCCAGACCATATGATGTCTGCTCAGTATAAATCTGGGAGAAAGGAGCAAAGGGGTGGGGTGGTGTCACCCTTGGTCCTCCAAGGCAACCACTAAGTGTATTGGAGCCCTCCTTCCTGAGAAGGCCTGACATCGCCTGTCCATGGGAAGTAGAGAATCAATCTGTTTGCTTTTGCTTCTGTGCATGGACCTTTGCTTCATTTTGCTTATATTAAAACTGCTTTTGTTACACCCACAAGGGTTGGTCTATCTTCTTTCCCCTCTTTGCCCTGTTGAGAAAACAAGGGGAAAAAGGCGGGGGGGGAGTGATAGAGTGACTTGGTGGATACCTGGCATTTAGCCAAAGTCAAACCATCACAGTAGGCAAAATTAGCTTGGTGAATAAATTTCATAGATAAACTTGCATGTAGTGATGTCTGTTCTGAAACAATGTCTCTCTTTCTCAGGAAAGGACTGTGCTGTCTGCAACCTTGTTGGGTAAGACCACACAGCAGATTAATTCTGTTAAAAACATCTGGGAATACTTGTAGCCACTGATGAAATTTGATTCTGCCAAATGAATTACTGTGATATAAATTTCCGTTCCACTTTTCTCTGAGGTTACAAAGCTGCTGTGGAGCTTTCAGCAGTTGTGCTACTGCATGTGTTAATAGTATTTTCTTGCTTTAGGTGAGGAGGCAACTTTGAAACTACTGTATGAAGAACTGAGAAGGTGAGTGTAACTGCAGTAATAGCAAAATTTATTTGCTGGAACAAATGATGATAACCTTAGCCTTGAACTCTCTCTCTGAACAGAGATGAAAATCTAAGGTCTGAGTTGTTCCCAGCAAGCTTCTTGTGCTGGTTTGGTGCCTTAAAATGGTTCTTATGTTTGTCTTTAATAGGTGGAACATTGCAGAATAACGGATTACACTTGTGTGAACAGTGCTAAAAAAGCCAAGTGTTTTTTTACCACACTGGTAATGTTTGTCTGATACTGATGGGAACCAATAAATACTTGTAAACTCTGCTTGTTGTTCTGAACTGCTTCTTGACTTGAACAGCTTGCTGTAAAATGGCTCTAGGCTGCTGTATAGAAAGTGTCAAATGTTTGATTTAGAGCAGAGACTGAACTAGTTTAAATGCCAGTTCTGCATGTGTGTCAATTCAGGTGTCATAATTGTCACTGCAGTCCTAGACTGCAGTTGACCTGATGTTCTGGATGAGTGATTTGTATCACTTAAAGCATCACAAGGTATTAGCAAAAGTGATTTTTAATATGAATTTGTGAAAGTGTTGATGACTTAAGGTTTGATAGTAAATGTGACAGTGGTTAACAAGATTGGATGGCAAAGTTGAGTCTACTGAACTAGAGGATTTGGTCAGACAAAACTGTCAGGGAGACTTTCCTGTTGAGTCATGAGGTTCATAAAGGATCCCTTTCCTTTTTAAACTCCTCAGAGAAGTCTAGGTGTGGCTGGGTCTACTCATAGTCCCAGACTTGGTCAGTGGTTTATATCTGATGGAAAAGGTACAAAGGGTAAGGAAAACCTGATGGTTACTATGCCAGTCTAATGTTTCAGGAACTCACAACACTAACAGGTTATAAGTTAAAAAGAAAATTATTCTAATTCAAAAATTAATATTACAACATTAGTAATCTCAAGTTCCAGATGCCAAGTGGAATCAAATACTACACAGCTGACTTAAGCTGAAATTTTAGAAAGGAGCTAACCAAAAAACATGTTCCTCTTGCTAAAGATGAGGGTTCTCAACCTCAAGGAGTTGTCTCAGGCAGTGTCATGATCCAGGGGAAGAGTCCCTGACTGCAGATCAACCGCTCTCAGGGGGACAGACTTGATTTGCCCTTCAGTGGGACCCCGTTTTAGTTAAATCTGATCTGTGGTCAAACATGGTCACATTTGTCCACACAGGCTAAGGGTGTGAGCCTTCCACTGAAGTGTGGGTCTAAATAGCCAGTTGTCCAACCCTGTTGTGACCAACATCAACAGATGTTGTAGTTACCTGAGTCAGCAGATATTTTTATATCTCAGAGATCAAAGTCAGATGTTTTTATATTTCACTAGAATGAGTGAATATTGTGGCTGAAGATTTTCAGGCAGGGTGGGTGGTACTGCCAACCCTGACCAGTACCATGATTTGGACAAAAGTAAATAATTGAAGGAGTAATCAGTATTTTGTAGGTGAGAGCTCTTGTGTATTTGCTCTTAAAATTACAGGCCACCAGTAGCAAGTCTGGTATTGCATGTTCAGGTGTAGATGAGCCCAGAACAAGTGTACAGCTTGAATGCTGTTAGCCCTTCTCCACTGGACTCTAGTCTAACCTTGTCATGTATTAGTCTGGAGCAAGGCAATATCCAGCCTCCATGAGAAAAATAATAGCTAAGTGGAGGGGGATTTTGATAATGCTGTTTTAAAGAATTATGCCTTATGAGGCACTAGGGCCTGCTAAGGTATTGTTGCTTCCCAAAACTCTCTTCTCTGAAAAATTTGACTTCCCACACCTTTGTAGTCTGAGGAGTGATAATGGGATGGGAAGAGTCAGCTCTATGAAGAACTCATTCTCCATAACACTTGAGCTATTGCTGTAGCACTTCTAATGAGAAGTAAAACTAGACATCCAAACTGTTCTGCAGGAATATTTTTCAGATTATTAATGTTCCCTAGAACCTTGCAGTAAGAGTAGGTTTGTCATTCCAGCTGGTACAATTTACTTGAATTTAAGTTACTTGTAGGAAGAGCTGAAATCTTTTTAGCCAGAATATTTCATCCTAGAGAAAATGAATTAGACATGATCTTGTGTCCCTGTGTGAATTAAATCTCTTCTGCACTAAAGCAAAAGCCATTAATAAGGTGTTTTCAACCAGAGCTGATTAGTAGTCTCTTAGTATTTCACCCACCATATTACTTTTTAAAATACCACACTTCATTGTGCCTGTTAAAGAGCTTGAAGGGACTGTCATAGCCTGCAGTGTAGAAGAAATCTTCATGGAATGGTTGGCCTCTGTTTCTTAAGATTCTGGCCAAGACTTCAGCCTCCTCAGCATATTTCTCTGGGGAGGCAAATCCACCGAAGGACCTGGTAGAAGTGAAAAGGGAGGGATTTTAATAGTTAAAAGCCTCTGCTTTTTATTGTCACAGAAGGAAATGTCAGGCTTGCAAAGTATGCAGTGTCTGATGCAGTTTGTAGTTACTAGGTAAACTGCAAAGCTAGCTGTTAGGGAACGTATAGCTTTGTATGCTGGCTGTGGTTTAACTCTAGTCAGCAACTGCACCATGCAGCCACTCGCTCACTCCTCCCCTCCCAGTGTGATGGGGAAGAGAATTGGGGAAAAAAAGTAAAACTCTTGGGTTTAGATAAGAACAGTTTAATAACTAAAACATAGTAGTAGTGAAATACAATAATTGTAATGCGAAGGAATATAACAAAAAAAAATAAACCCAAAGATGGACAAGTGGTGCATGATGCCACTGCTCACCACCTGTTGACTGATGCCAGAGCAACAATTTTCCCCCCTCCAGTTCATATACTGAGCACAAGACCCTGTTGTATGGAAGAGCCCTTTGGCTACTTTGGGCTGGCTCTCCTGGCCACGTTCCCTCCCAGCTTCTTGTGCAACTGCTCACTAGCAGGACATGGGATGTTCAAAAGTAGATTTCTTAGCAACAGCTAAAAAAAATCAACATTCTTCCACTAAGTCCTGTACTGAATCAAACAGCACTATTCTAGCTACTAAGATGATAATTAGCCCTATCCCATGTAAAACCAGGACAATGATATTTTTTAAAGTTAGGATTCAAAAAAAAGAAAAGTTGCTTGCAATTCTGAGACCATTATCTACCACAGGTTGTTGCCTGTGGCTTTAATGCATGCAGAGAGGGCATGTGTTGCTTTGGGTGCTTTTCCTGTAATAAAGATGTGTGCCATGCAGGTTTTGTTGGAATTCAGGACTACACATAAAGGGGCCTGGAAGTATGATTTAGATGTTTGGTAGCACAGAATGTGTCCAGGGGAAGAGAGTTGTGTAGACTGCCTTTCTATAAAACCTACTCAATGTAGTATTCAAGAGTCTGTTGAAAATGAATGTTTCAAAACTTGGTCATTTCTCTTTGTTCTTAGTAAGATACCCAAGCATAAGGAAGATTTCCAAGTGCTCAGGTTTTGCCAATCAAGGCTCTGAATATACCCACAGTTAAAATCAGCTGTAAGAAAGAGCAGTCCAGACCAGTAAGAGATGAACCCTTCCAATAGCTGCCTGCTGTCAGCTGTGCTGGTGCTGCTTACCGCACAAAGATGGATGCTGCCTTCCGCTCTTCCAGAAACACATCTGAGTCAGTGGGCTGCGGGGGGTAGTCCTGATGTTCAAATGGCACGAAGAAAGAGATTTTGAAGTCTGCGCAGCCAGATTTTATCAGGCATGTCACTGGCACGGTCATATCAATCTTCATTTCTAGAGGAAAGGAAAAAACCAGTGTTTAAGCTGTGAGGGAAGACAGTGCCTGAATGCTGCTGTAAAGAGCGATGCAGACTTACCCTAAAAGCAGCCTCACCGGTATCATTGCCTGACGGGGTCACGAGGGTGTTAGACCAGCAGAGGGAACCTGCTGTGTCCCACAGCTCATCTACTGTTTTATACTATTTAGCTTCATCTCCCACTTGTGCTTCTTGCAGTTCAAACCCAGCCCATTGTACCTTTGTCATTCTTCCCTTGTATGTAGCGGAAGAGTTTCCAGAAGCCCTGGCGCATCGCCTCCTTCTGGGTCTCTCCCCTAATGACTGTACTGACCCACTTCGCCGTCTCATATTGACGCAGTTCATAATCCTTTGCCTGAAAGGCAGCAAAAGTCACAGTAATCATGACATGAATATGAAAAATGATGTATTAATAGCTACTTTTTCCAAATTAGCATGAAAATATTGTTGCAGTGAGATGACACTGGGCAACCTGTTTGCTGCAGACATACCCCTTGTGTTAAACTGGTGCCTCCCTTGCAAAACCATTGAGCTCCTCAGAGTTTATAAATGGGTGTTCATCTCCCCCTTTGCAGTTGGGTGTGAGCAGTGGCTGTGGGAACTTCCCAGCTCTTCCACGCTCATCAGAATCCCAAATCTGCCTTAGCTCTGCAGCGCCCTGACAGCAGAGTTCTGCTCCCCGGGCCTTCTGTGGTTACCATTGTCTCTGCTGAGCTCCACCGAGGGGACTGCAGATCCAGGGACAGAAACGTTTGCTTGAAGGATTTGATCATCTTGCCAGAGCTGAAAGGCAGACACAGTTCATTGGCCTCTCTTCAATCAATACAGTAGAACTGGGGCAGAAGAAAGCAGTAGGGCTTTTCTTCCTAATGTTTCAGTTGTCCCTGAAATTGTGGAAGGTCTGGATTACCCTGCTTATCCCCAATGAGTCAACAAAAAGGGCTGAAATCCTTTTAGCCCAGAAGGAACCAACAGAGAACCAGGACCAAGAAACTACTTCTAGGCAGATGTGGGAGAGTTCATCTTTCAGGATATGCTGCCTTTGCTTCTCCATGAAGTGAGGGCATTTCCTGGCTGCCAAACAGAATGCTGAGCAAGTGGCAGTTTTGTGGATATCTGTAAGTAAAGGGGACTTGAGAAGTTCAAATCAAGATTTGGTGGTGATGGGTACTCTGGTATTGACTGCCCATTACTTTATTGTGCATGTCATAATAGCTGATGCCTTTTTAAGATCTTTAGCCTCAGAGTCCTGTAGATAAGTGAGATTTTCTGTATTTATGAATATGTAGCTACTTTCCTAGGAATCCTTCATGTGGAAGGAAAAAGCTGAAAACATGAAAACACTCAACTTCCTCTTACCGTCCCAAAATAAGGCAAACAAAAATAATCAAAATCGCTATTGAAATAATCACATCTAGTTTAAAAAAGTCTTGAGATTTCAGGAGCCTTCATTTTTTATTTTTGTTATAACCAGGCAGATCACAGTGCATACCTACGTCCTCAGAAACTCTCTGCTTTCTATTACATTACGATGCCCTTTGCACTTTGTGTTGCAAAGACAGCATGTAGTTCAGCAGTTATCTTGATTCTTAGATTATAGTACATTTCTCATCAGACTATAACTTAATTGCGTGTTCTTGGGTAGCAGAACAAACTCTCAAGTTGTTTTTAATTTCTCTGCCTCCTCAACTGTTAATAGCTGCCCACACAAGAAGCCCTGACACTGGTGGCTCATATTTTTGCATGGGCTTTTAGTAGTAAAGGTGCACTGATGCAATTCACAACATGTCCTGCTTCCACTGGTAAAGTCTTGAAGATATTCTGTCCTTAGCGTGATGTTTGTGAATGCCTATTTTTGCAAAATCAAGAACTGCCTTGTGCTACCTGACTACTTTTTTACCTGTTTTCATTTTCTTATGACATGTAAACTACTGCTGAATAATATTAATGCCCTCCTGCACCCTGGCTTAGAGGTGGCTACAGGGAGCTTTCTCTTTGGGATCTATGAGGTTGAAAAGCTTTTAGCAAAAAAACCCCCAAAATTATGCTAGCACTGATTTCACTTACAAAGTAGTGCACAGAGCGCTCGTGTTGAGCTTTTTCTAGCAGCTGCTCCTTCAGTTGTCACTGCGCACACAGCAAAGGAAAATAAGAGAACCACTGGGCAGTAGGCTGATGCCAGCAGTTAAAAGCAGGTGCTGTCCCCCTCCGCATCCCAGCCTGAAGATACAACAGCTTCATCAGGCTTTACCACATGGGTGGTCACCCGCTGGACAGCTTTTTGTCAATAGTATTTACAAATCAACAAAGCATAACAAAGCAAGGAATCCAATCATTTTATTAGAAGCAAATGTGAGTAATTATACTAAAACTTCCTACAGCAATTTATTTTGTCCATTGTCATTTCAAAGGCAAACATGCTGCTGCTTTACTATCACTTCACTTTCCATTTCTCCTTGCTACTTGATAGAAAACATATTTTTCCTCTTCACGTGCTTCCTGTGTTAGAAAGCAGAGAAGTAGACATTCCTCCATTTCAACACATGCTGTTGTAGTAGCTGCTTAGGAGTTGCCTTGTCTCTGTACTTGCCAGTTCCAGCCCCTCCCTGACACACCTTTTCACTGCTGGTTAGATCTCTCACAGCTCTGTCTTTTATAACTTTGTGGCCAGTACTGTTGGTGACTGCATGTACAAAATGTTTCTGAATTACATAAAACAATGCTTTTGGGAGTGGAAGACAAACGGAAAGGAATCCTCCAAATATTTACAGTTGAATTAATTTTTAGATCTACAGGAAAGCTTAGCTTTGTGATTTCCATCTGCTCATATAAATATTACTGTAGGGTGTGTAGGCTTTTTCTGCAGCTGTTAACATATGGGCCAAAGGGACAGAGGGTATCACAGTCATCTTCCAGGGCTACACCAAAGCTGTGAGTAAGCGTAGCCAGAATATGCCATTCCACAAGCCACTAATTATATTGAGGAAGCAGACAAAGTAGATATACTTACATTTTAAGCTGTCCTTCTAGATCTTGTAATCTATCCTTCTGGGCTGCACATACTCACAAGATGCTGTGTGTCAGTGTTTATTTTAGTTTCCTCAAACTCCGCCCATGCCTCACCCCTACTGGAGGGAGATGCTGTTATGAAAACGAGAAGGTTGTAGCCTTGTCCTCCTCCGGGTCTCACTGGGGAGCTCCCACGCAAATGCCAAAAGCCCCACCTACTGCCCACAAGGCAACATTGGGTCCAGTGTGTGATCTGGCTCCACAAACAGTTTTGCACCCTTGTGTAACTTCCCCTCGTTTGCACAGCTTTCTGCATACTTATGTCACAGTCAGCAGCAGGTTTCGTGCTTTTGGGAGAATTTCACATAAATAATGTGTCCCCCCACCCCGACTCAGGTGACATGACAGTGATGGTACAGAATGACAACTTTTCACCCCTGGTGTAAAACAGTAGGTGGAAATCTGGCTGCAAACTAAGCTAAGGCCATCCTCACGTGATTTCTGCTGGCATGTTATGAAAGACAGACAGTGTTCTATAATGGCTGTCTGTTCTGAGTGGTATTTGAGACTAATGAGCCCCCTTAGCTCTTGGATATCTGCACAAAGGGGTTATACAAAGCTATTGTGAAATTCTGTCCTGCTTATAATACACAAAGTGAGGCTGGACTCTTCATTTAAGCAGCTGCAACTCTAGACGTATTTAGGTGCCAGCACAGTAGGGCAGATTAAACTTCACAGTTTGAGTTCTGTGAACATCTCCCATGTTTGTCATGATTTGTGCAAACTCCCTGCAGTCAAATTCAGCTAACCTCTCCGGGGCGTTTGAAATCAATAGCTGAGAGCGCCTTCCAACAAGGAAACACCTTTGCTTGCAGAGAACTTCATCAGGATGTGTCTGATACACTCCTATTCTGAAAGGCAGAATAAAAAAAAGCCCCGAATGATGCCAACTAGCAATTGCTAACTTATCTAAAGGCACAGAGCTCTCTAAAGCCACAGAAGTGGGGTGGTGTAGAGTGGTTTACTAATGGAGCCTATTAGGACATGCTGATGCCTGAAAAGCAGAACCAGTCCTCTGCATGTACTTTCATTTTACAAGTGTAAACTTTCTATTTTACCTGTGTTCTGCTTAGGTCAAACAGGAAAATCAGGGTGATGTGGAGAAGCAGAAGGTGCTACTTCAGGGTCTTTGACCAGGAGCTACAGGCATGCAAAGGCACGTGCTTGTGTAAGGTTAACTATTACCTTACTCTGTCACCCTACTGTTCCTGTCAAGTGTGTACAGTAATTATTTTTTCTAGAGTAGAGAAGGCCATGTGAAAAACTATACCCAGCCACAACAGTTTGACAAATCTCAACAAATTTATCCCAATCATTAGCACAGAGAAGTACTGCTTTCAAAGGGGGGGCAATTAATCTGTAGATAAACACAATCCCACTGTGCATTCTTGTTTTGTTTCTGAAGCAGGGAGGCCCAGAACAAATACCCAGTCAGTTTGTATGTGTCCAGCTGATGTCCCCAACAAAGAGCTAACTGTTCCTGGTGGAGTAGCCTGAGGCTGGAGAACAATCATTAGTGTTTTCCTGAGAGGTTGTTTTCCAACACTCTTGTTTTTCACATACACATTGAGAGAACATGTCAACAGTTGGAAGAAACAGTAGGGTAGGCATGAGGACATGCATTCTGTACATAACTGTATACATATCCAAACTATGCAGTTAGGGGGATGGGGAAGGGATTCTGTTGGAAGTGGACATACAGTCTCACCAGTGCCTCACTCATACCCCATCTCACCAGGGAAAATCTGAGTACACTAACTCTGTACCTCTTGGCCTTTACACAGGAAAATGACATGAAAGAATTGGTTTAGCACCTTGAGGTTCCAGTAGTTTGCAGAACATATGACAGGGAAGTTCAACAGAATATGTATACTGCTAGTTTGCCTGGCTATCTCTACTGCATGGGGAAAAACAAAAATGGGCTGTAAAAATACCATATACTATATCTCTAATGCAAAGAGTTGCTGCCCACAGAGGAGCCCTAAATGTACTAATTAATTAGTCAGTAATGAAGTCTCAATGGTAACCTGTGACACCTCTGTTTAATGTCATATATATATATATATATATATATATATATATATATATATATATA